GAACGCGGCGTAGGGGTCGCCTGCGGCGGCGCCGCCGCCGACCGGGGGCGCCGGGTTCCCCCATGCGTCGAGTGCGAAGCCGGCGATGCCATGCTGGACGGCGTAGAGCTGCTGCGGGTAGCCGGCGGCGGCCGCCATGCCGTTGCCGGGCGCGCCCGAGAGGTCGGGGTGCTGCTGGCCGACGAGAACGGCCGGGGGGACAGTCGCGGGCGGCACGCTGAACATCGCGGCGGGGGCAGGAGTTGCCGCCTCGCGGGCGGCGGGGCCGCGCCCGTGGAGAGCTACGGCCGAAAACACCCCTTTGCGCGGAGTGCCGGCACAAAAAACGATGCGCGCGGGAGCCGCCTCGCTGCGGGCGGGGCGCCCAGGGGTTGGTGGGGCGCGCACGCTAGATGCGCGGGGCTGCGCACGGGCCGACGACTCCTAGCGGGCACGGCGGCGCAGCGCCATGCGCCGCGCGATCGTGCACGGCCGACGATGCAACTGCTTGTGAAGAGGGCTGACGCCTTTACTACCTAGCTGCCGCGCTGAGGCCCTTGAAGGCCAGCTCGGGATACCTTTGCGCTCTGAGCGCAGCTTCGCGGCGGTCTAGGCGGGAGAAAACTGGGCGCGAAAACTTGACGGATTTGAAGAGGCTCGTGCTCTCGTTAAGGGGTCAGGCTGGAGCGCTGACGTTGCGTGACGCGTGCAGTCTCAACTCGAACTAAGCAAATAGAGTACAGATAGCAGGTGTGCAGGTTCAGAAGATTTCTATCAAATATTCCATATCCTTGTGCGGGGAACGAGGCCGCGTGGCAACATAAGTGGGCGGCCCGCACTGCATGACTGTCGATCATGGTGCTGGTGACCGAGAACGAATGACTCAGAGGACAATGTGGCCTGAAGGCAGCATTAATATGTCCTGAGGTCTGCCATCATGTGCATAGAGGATTTTAGAAAGAGAGCTGATGGTGATCCGCTGATCTAGTCATGCTGGAAAGGGCCTTGTAGGTTTGGGTCAGCTGGAAATACATTTTCCCGACCGGTGCCATGAGCTATGCGGTGTATAAGGAGGTGCGCTCGCTTCCCGCCGTGCCAGCGCTTACTGCTGCTGGTCTGGTGCTGCGCGCACGGCTGGTACCGCCTTGCGTCGGGCCTGTACGCAAGCCGCTTTGCGCCCCTGTCAGTATGCGGTCTGATACATAGTAGGCGCCTCATCTCGCTGTGTGGCGGCCGCAGCAGCCGCAGCCTCGCCCCACGCTCAAGTCGGCGCCGCGGCGTGCGCACCGTACGTGCTGCCTTGGCTCCCACCACCGCAGTTCCACCCGCCCACCGGCGTGACCCACTGCGTCGATGCGTTCTTCACCCACCCCGCGCCTGCTCGCGGCGGCGGCGGCGGCGGCGGTGGCGGGAGCCCCACCGCCGCGGCGGCGCCTAACC